GATAATGCCACTACTGGCTCCTTTTTCGAACTCCAAGCAACGGGCGCACCACCTAGCATAAACACATATCCTACTGTGGATTTTCATTCCTCAACATCACTACATCAACTTGAATCAGTATATCCAACTAACTTGCATTTTTCCTTTATCAACTGCAGGAAACAAAATTCCATAGTCAAGAGTTCCTTTCAGATACCTCAATATCTTATCCGTTGCTGCTAGATGTGATACCTTTGACTTCTGCATGAATCTACTTACCATACTTAAATTGTATGCTAAGTCAGGCCTTGTGTGACAAAGGTATCTTAATTACCCAATAAGTCTTTTATATTGGATTAGGTCGACTTCATCTTCTTCTGAATATTTTGACAGTTTCAATCTTGGTTCTACAGGTGTCTAATTCGAGTTGCATTTTTTCATCTTAAATCTCTTGAGAATTTCTCCTGCATATCTTCTTTGACGCATCATCAATCCTATGCCACTCTTGTAGAATTTCTATGCCAAGGAAATATGAAATGTCACCCAGATCATACATTTCGAATTTCTTGCTGAGACCACCTTTGAAGTATTCGATCTCACTTTTGTAGCTACCTGTTATCAATAAATCATCGACATATAGACATAGTATAAGCAATTCACTATTGCTTCTTCTTACAAACCCAACTGGTTGTGCAACATAAACTTCTTTGTCTAAGGGTCCATTTATGAATTCACATTTCACGTCCATCTGACATATGTGCCAACTGTTCATTTCTGCTAGACCAACATCCAACCTGATTGTTTTGATTCTAGCAATAAGTGCAAAAACCTCATCGAAGTTGATTCCTTATTTCTGAAGAAATCCTTTGGCCAAATGCCTTGCCTTGTGTCAAGTTACTTCCACTTTGGGATTCAACTTCACCTTGTATACCTACTTGACATAGATTGCCTTCTTTCCTTGAGGCAATTCGACAAGTGACCAAGTGTTTTTATCTTCGATGGATTTCACTTCTTCATTCATTGCCTTCACCCAATTTAAATCTTTGAATGCTTAAGTTGCATTGACAGGTTCGACATCTGCATAGAAAGTATAATATACCAGCTCACATTCATTATCAACCATATCATCTGATGTAATAACACAATATTACAACCTTGCAGGCATGTGTCTTATTCTTCGAGGTCTGTTTGGTCCTGGTTGATCTATAACTCCCTCTTGTTGAACTTCTCTTTCGACTTCAACTGCTGGTTCTTTGAATACGATTCTTACTGAATCTTTCTTGACATTTTCTGTCCAATCCCATTCCTTAAGTTCATTTATGATCACGTCCATGCTGATCACAATCTGCTTGTTCGCTGGGTCGAACAACTTGTAACCTCCTGTCAAATGATATCCTACTAGGATCATCTGACTTGACTTATCATCAAGTTTTCTTCTCAAAGAATCTGGCACATGTCTATTTGCAATAGATCCAAATACATTCAGATGGCTCAAGCTAGGGTTCAAACAAGACTGATATTATTCTGGAGTAACTCATTCTAGCTTCTTTGTCGGACATCTGTTCAAAATGTCTGTTGTTGTCGACACAGCTTCACCCCAAAACTCTTTAGGTAAATGCCTTCCTTTTAATATACTTTTCACCATATTCATGATGGTTCGGTTCTTTCTTTATACAGTTCCATTCTGTTGTGGAGTGTATGGTGGCACCGCCTCATGCACAATCCCTTCTTTCTCACATAATATATCAAAGTCTTTCGACACATACTCTCCACCACCATCAGTTCTCAAAACTTTAAGCTTTCGACCACTTTGTCTTTCGATCATAGGTTTAAACTTGGAAAACATCTCGATCACTTCACTTTTCTTGTTGATCAGGTAAGTCCATAGTTTTGACTAAAATCATCTAAGAATGTAACAAAGTATTTGTCACCTCCATTTGAATCCACCTAGATTGATCCACATACATCAGAGTATATGATTTCAAGAAAAGCCTTCGAATTACTTCCTGCATCTTTGCTGAAGTTGTTATTATGTTGCTTCGCCTGAACACGTTCCTCACACACCTTGTTCGGAATGTCAATTGCTGGCAACCCTGAAACCATATTTCTTCTTTTCAAATCTCGGATGTCTTTGAAATTGAGATGAACTAGTCGATAATGCCATATCCATTCATCTCTACTAGCTGCAGTTGAAAGGAACTTATGCTCCATCACATTTAGTTCGATCTTGAAGGTTCAATTCTGAGACATAAGAGCCTTCAAGATTAACCTTCCATTTTCATTGACAAATCTCATCATCTTGTCTTCGATTGACACCTTATATTTCTTTTCGACCAACTTCCCTATACTGAGAAAATTGCTCTTCATGCCTGGTATGTACAACACATTGGAAATTACTGACCTCTTGCCATATTTCCTCATAATCATAACATCACCAATACCTTCAACTGCTAGGATATTGTCATTTGTGAATTTCACCATGTTCTTCATCGAGGGTTTTATGTTGACAAATAAATCTTTCCTTCAAGACATGTGTGATGAGCATCCTAAATCCAAGTACCATTGGTCCTTGAATCTATCTTCATCTTTTGTTGTGACCATCAACATGATCTCTTCTTCTTCATGTTTTGTAAACTTATGCATCACTTTCTTAATTCTTTCTCTTTTCTGGACAATCACTTGAATAATGACCATACTTATGATAATTGTAACACTGAATGTGACTTTTGTCAAGTTTTCGACCACCACCTCTTCCTCTATTAGCAACACCACCTCTTTGGTTGTCTTGGTATAGTCTTCTTTGATTTAACACAACTCCTTCTTTCTGGTCTCCTCTATCACTCTAATTGTTGTAGCCTCCTATACTTTTATTGTCGAACCACTTTCCTTTTCCTTTCTTTTATTTTACTGATTGAGCCTACAAAGCCACATCATTTTTCGACTTTCCTGCAACTCTCTCAGCCATTCTTTGTTCATGAGATTTAAGCATCCCTGGAATCTCTTCCTTCAACAAATTTGACATGTCCTTCGACTCTTCTATGGCAACTACCACATGGTCGAACTTCGGAGCCAAAGATCATAAGATCTTTGAAACAACAACTCTTATTGTTAATGCCTCTCCACAAACCTTGATTTGATTCACTAGTTTCGTAATCCTAGTGAAGAAATCAGATATGCTCTCACTTTCTTGCATCTGAAGCAATTCATACGTTCTTTTGTGAGTTTGTAACTTCACCTCTTTCACCTACTCAGCGCCTCCAAACGATTTCTTCTGAACTTCCCAAATTTCTATTGCAGAATCTATATCACTAACGTTTTCAAAATTATTTGGACTCAGACACTGATGAGTTATAAAGAGAGCTTTATAATTCTTCTTCTTTGATTCTTTGTATTTCGCCTCTTCTTCTTCTGAAGCATCTTCTTTAAGCCGTTCTAATCCATATTTCACAAGATCCAAAAGATCTTGACAACAAAACACAACCTTCATCTGCTTGCACCAATTCTCCTAGTTTTTGGCTTTAAGAATTGGAAGACTTGCTGGAAAATGCCCGTTTAGTTGATTCATTGCCATCGTGATTTTCTTCTTCTTCTTCCCTTAATCGCTCAACCGAAGCTCTTGATACCACGTGTTGGAAATCCAACAAAATCTATGATGAATTTCTATCAATCTTGATATACAAGATTGTTATTGTTAAACAATGACAATGAAAATTGGGGAAGAAATAAATTAGGGTTTGAGAAAATATAGAAGACAAAGATGATTTTTCTGCAGAGTTACTCTCTACTCACAAACCATGGAAAACTTTCTTATTCACTTGCAACTGCAAATTCTGTGAATATTCAATTTGTTACAAAAATAGAGGTTACTCCATCTATTTATAACTGAACTTGCTTGCTCCCTAAGGCAAAGCTCAAAAATTATAAAAGTCCAAAATAATTATTTTTGACCTAAATCAAATATGTGTGAAGCAACTGCTTCGACACAACTATCTAGACTAATTCAACACACATTCATATTGGGTGTTTCGACACACCTTATGCCGAGCAATATACTGCTTTGACATAAGGAATTACACATTTAACAAGTATGTGGTGTGTCTCTAGAGGAAGTCCCAAAAGTGTAAAATGCTCCTCGTGTTGACCCTCTCAGATTACGCCAACAAATGGTATCACGGGCCTTTGATTCGAATAAAGGGACTAGCTTACTTGTATCAAAATATCTGTAGGAGGTGTCCACTTGAAAAGTGTCAACAACAGTACAAGCGTATGTGGATAAAAGAGTTTCCACATGAGGGAAAGCATCATGGGTTATGAATATGGAGACTTGAGTATTTATAAGTGAGAAAACTCACACACCTATCACCTTAAAATTTCGAATAAGTATGTAATGTGTCTCTCACAAATACTTATCATTAATAAATGTTAAAAATATTAAACATTTTAGTTATTCACATGAAAAACATAAGAAATATTTATAATCATTTTAATATATAAAAATGAAAATTGAAAACTTTGAGTTTTTAATGAAGTGTTGGGAATAGATGAAAAATAAATGGAGTTTTTTTAACAATAACTTTTTTAATTAAAAAAATATATTTTATTATTTAATTGTTTTAATTTTAATTATAAATATGCAGATTTATTTTCTGTCAAATATTTATCTTTAGTACATAAAAAACACCATAAACATATTTGTAATAAATATAAATAAAAAAATCAAACAGTGATCACATTGAAAATATAAAAATACTTTTCAAATACAAGTCATTGATACAAAAACAGACCGGAAAAATATATTCGTTCATAAATATGAAAATAAATAAAATAATTATTTGTCATATAAAAGAAAATAAAATATAGAACACATATTTAATATTGATCCATATAAAACTAAAACAAATCATAACCATTGATAAATATAAAATAAAATAAATATTTATCTTAGATAAATATATAAAAAAATGAGACAAACATTAGTCAGTCATATATAAAATGAGTTCGGCTTTGCTCCATTAGTGCAGATGTTGGATAAGCTAAGAAACATTATGGAGGAAAAAAAGGGAAAAGTGTCAAGCATGGCGATAAGAGGTAGACGAAAGGCCATTGCAATGGATCTAAAGAGTTGGATGGTATTTTCAGAAACAGGTGAATCCATCGTTGAGGATCTTGACAAACACTCCATCATGCGACGAACAGGTTTACCGTCGCGTGATCTTAGAGTTCTTGATCCAACACTTTTTTACCCTTCTTCTATTATAGGACGAGAGAAATCCATTGTTGTTAACCTAGAACACATTAAAGCCATCATCACTTCAAACGAGATGCTTATAATTAATTCTTCTAGCCCTTTCTTTATTTTGTTCCTTCAAGATCTTCAAGCGCGTGTTCCTCGTTCTAGTAATATCCATAAGCTTACATCGACTGGTAATGGCGTTGATGGTGATTCTCAATCAACAAATTTAGTAGAGGAAGGGTCACCGTTGTTACCAAGTCACGTTGATTCTCTGAATAATGCATCAAAGGGTACACTCATTGATGTAGCGGAAACATCATATTATAAGCAGTTACCTTTTGAGTTTAAAGCTCTTGAGGCTTGTATTGAATCTGCATGTGCATGCCTTGAATATGAGGTATATATATACATGCATCTATATAGTAACTGTGTTCATATATTATATGGTTATTATGATGAGGTTTACAACTTGTATTGTGTGTTTATATTAGAATCAAAGATTGGAAGAGGAGGCTTACCCGGCTTTAGATGAACTGGCTTCTCAAATAAGTACTCTAAATCTTGAACGTGTAAGGCATATCAAGAATCGTTTGGTTGCACTTTCTGGTCGTGCACATAAGGTAAATAAGTAGTCAAACTCAAACGTTTGTGATGATTTTTTTTATGAAAGAAAGACTAATAGTATTCTTGGATTTAACAGGTAGCGGATCAGCTAGAAAACTTGTTGGATGATGATAATGACATGGCTGAAATGTACTTGACAAAAAAACTTGACGATTGCTCAATAGGCCAAACACCATTAACAAAAGGATGCAATTTAGCTATTGATGAAGATATAGACAAAAGGTGCAAATGATTATCACTAGTCTCTATTATTAAATAAATACTATATTTTAAAGCATAGATCATACTCACAATTCATTCCTTAATTTGTAGTGATGAATCAGATATGGTTCAATACAGATCCTATGAATCTAAACCTGACGTTGAAGAATTAGAGATGCTTTTAGAAGCATATTTTGCGCAGATAAATGGAATTTTGCAAAGATTATCCAGTGTATGTATTTCATTAACATAATTAAAGTCAAATAGTAATTATGATTTATTCAAAATATAAATGATACATGTTTTTGTTACTTTGTTAAGTTGAGTGAGTATGTAGATGATACAGAGGACCACATCAACATAATGTTGGATGATAAGCGAAATCAACTACTACAAGTATCAATAATGTTCAGCACAATGAACGTGATAGTCAGTGCAGGTATTGCGGTTGTTGGGTGGTTTGGCATGAACATTCACATTGATCTCTTTGAAGGTCAACCTCGTCAATTTTGGGCTACAGTTGGTGGCACATTCTCAGGTTGTATATTGTTATTTATCGTTTCTATTTGGTGGGGTAAAAAAAGATATATTTTGTCTCAATAAAGACTAATACTAATTCATGTGTAATTCATTAAAGGAGAAACTTGTATCATTATTTAATGTTAGTTTTACCATAAATCTTGTTTATTAGTAATATTAAGGTTTTAATAATTTTGTTTTGTTTTCTATGAAGAATCATAAATTGCAAGACTATTTTGTAGTATAATTGCAAGACTTTTTTGAATAACAGTGTTTTCAAGATTTACATTGAAATACCATTTTATAGACGGTTTACTATGGAGTGTTTTTTCTCCAAAATCAATGTTTGATGAACGACAATGTAAAACGAGAACGGTGTCAAATTTCAAATCATTTTTCAATATGAATCGTTACGCTCTTCTTGCTTATCTAACGTTCATGATAATGCACATGATTTGGTGTCATGATCACTAATACAACAACAAACTCTATACATTCATCTTAATGATTTTCAGTCACTACTTAGCTTTGCACGAGTCTAATAAATCATGTGTGAGCGTGTGCGCGTGCGTGCATAGGTGAGTGTGCGTGCATGAGCGTGTGCGCGTATACGAACTCAAGTTACAATTCATCGCCATTAAATTTATGTGTCATATAATAAACTTTGTGCTTCACTTTTTATAAAAAAATTGTAATGCATATGGTAAAAAATTTAATCCGTTTAACAATTAAAGTTTTTTTAGTGATCAAACTTTTCGCCGTTGAGTTACTTATTTTTGTTGAAAGTGTAATTTCTTATGTTAAAAGCAGTATGTTGCTCGACACAAGGTTGTATCGAAGCTTAGTGTGTAGAGTTGTGTTGTGCCGAAATATCTAAGTATTTTGCGAGACATAATTTTGACTAGACCAGTTTTAGTAAGTATAACTGAATTAGGTTAAGTTGTTATTTTGGGCTTTTCTTATTGTAGGCATTTTAGTTTATGGAGCAATCTAAGCTCATTATAAATAGAGGGAGTAACCCCTATTTTTTGTAACACATTGAATGTTCATAGAATTTGTAGTTGCAAGTGAATAAGAAAGTTTTCCACGGTTTGTGGGCAAAGAAAAATTCTACAGAAACCCTAATCTCTTTTCCTTCTTTAATTTTATTTTCTTTTCATTGTCATTGTGTGATGATAACAATCTTGTTCATCAAGATTGATAAAAATTAATCACAGGTTTTGGCAGATTTCCAACATTTGGTATCAAGACCTCTGGTTGAGCGATTCAAGGCAAGCAAGAACGATGGCAATGAATCATCTGAACGAGTATTTTTTAGCAAGTTTTTCAATTCTTAAAGCTGATAACTATGAGAATTGGTGCAAGCAGATGAAGGTTGTGTTTTATGTTAGAACAAGATTTGATTCTGCATCTAATCTATGAGTTTTGATGATAAAAATACATATATTTTATATGTAACAATTTTGGTATCTAATAATTCTTTAAGTGTGCAGATAAAACATTCAAATTGATTCAATATTGTTGTCTGAAGAATCATCAAATGTGTTTAACTCGCATTCGAAAGACCATCGTTTAAGTTATGAAGAAACATTAGCAGTTCTAAAGAATGTTGAATGTTCGCTAGAAACGGAACCACATGTACTTCTCCAGATAAGTTATTGCTTCAGAAGTCAAGTGTGTCCAGAAAAGAACCAATAGTGAAAATCAGATATCAAGACAAAGTGCTTCTCAGATAAAGCTTTTACTTCAACACTCAGATATCAAGAAACAATTTGTCAGATACGCTGCTGCTATATATCTGAAGACTAGATTCTAGTTCTGAAGACTTTGATACCTTTGGGAAAACTACAAGAAATATTTTCTGGAATATTCATCTCTTTATATCAGAATCATTCCATTAGAAGGTTGAAGAATAGAGACGTAATCACTTCTATGCTCTCATTCTAATTTAGAACAGAAGTATTTCAAACAGAAGAAAAGATCATAAACTTATACAAGAAGTAAACAAGTACAAATGTAAACACATTTTCTTGCATTTGTGGAGAACGCAATGTACAAATAAAAATTTGTGTGTGCTCCTTGTTTCCCACGTTCTTATGCTACCGTTGTAGCAAAAAACTTGATGAAAGTGACATTGTCCAACAGTCTTCTTTTCTCAGCCTATATAAAGGGATTTATTCTTCTTTGGAAACTAACGATGAACAAATAAACTACTCAAACAAAAGCATCAAAAGACTAAGAAAATCAAAGAGAGAAAGTATTCAAAAGAAAAACACAAAGAGTTGTTGCTCAGATTTATGTTAACTTATATTCTTTAGACCATAAGAGTTGTTGCTCATAATTGTGTTAGTTATATCATTGTTGTACGCACAAGAGTTGTTGCTCATATTTGTGTGTAAACATTTGTTCTTCATTGTGGTGTTAAATCTGATTTTTCATAAGCACTATTATTGAACTAACTATAAATATTTCTAGATTTATTTCCTCAAGTGACTAAGTAGTAGTCATAATTACTTGAGAGGGCTAAGGTGTTTTTCTAAACTCTTAGAGGTTTCTGTAATCTTTCTAGATTATTGGATTAATTCCTTTTCTAAGGTAAAATCACCTTGGCGGGTGGACAAGAGTAGCCTTTTCTAAGGTGAACTTGTATAAACTAAACGTGTCACTTTTCTTTCCTGCTTAAGTTATCATTGTTTGTTTGTGAGAAGCATTTTCCAAAAGAAAAAGTTTTGAAAACCCCAATTCAAACCCCTCTTTCTTGTGTTTTTTTGAATCTTCAATTGGTATCAGAGCTCCGACTCAGTTATTGATTCTCAAATCAAACACTTAATCGTATAGAGAGATCCAGTGTGAGAAAAACTTATATGGTTGTTGATCATACAAACGAAATAAATAGTTACAATACTAAGTCTCCCATTTTTGATGGAGAGAAATTTGAATATAAGAAAGATAGACTAGAAAGTTTCTTTCTAGGCTATGATACTCATCTTTGGGATCTTGTCATATATGGTTATGAGGAACCTATTTCTACGAACGATATTCCCATTTCCATAAATAGAATGAATGATGATCATAAGCGTGTACTCAAGAATCATTATAAAGCACGAACAATACATGGTGATGTTTGGGAGTGATGGTCATAATTCTAATAGACCTTTTAAGTATGTACACTCAAATCTAAGGAGTCCAACAAGGGTGACAACTTATGGGGTGGATGAGATTTCTCATAGGATGACATGGTTTTAGAATGATGTTTTGATGCTTTTATTAGTTATCATTTTGTTGTATTTAAGTCCCTCACAACAACTTACATTGTTTTTATTAAACTTATTCATTTGCATGCATAAAATAACCATTTGAACAAAGTCAAATCAAATGACTTAGATTAAGTTGTATCCTTATTCAGATCAAGGAAAATACGGAATCACGATTATGATTAAGGAAAATTATACCCACCTCCCCCGAGGTCTATTAAAATGACACTGACACTCCCTCTAATTTTAAAATATACACTAACCTCTTCAAGGTCTATTAAAACTATACTAACAATCCCTCAAGTTTTTAGTGACAATCAAAAATCGTAGTTATAAATAACACTTACCTACGTTTTTTTATCTATCACTAAAAATATTCATTAGTATATGTAAGTTCAAGGGAGGTTAATGAATTTTTAAAAACTAGAGGGAATATTGGTGCCATTTTAACAGACCTCAGGGGTGTGTGTGTGTAATTTTCTCCTTGGATTATGTGAATATTTTATTAGAGCCATGCAGAAAAATGAATTTTTAGATTTTTGGTTTGAGAAACATGATTCACATCAGATATTAGCTCGATTCGAATCATGAGCACTTGCTTTTTTAAAAATTGTATTTCTAGAAACGTGATCATGATCACATGTGTGTATGATTCGAATCACATGAATCAGATCATACCGAAATTTAACCATTTTGATCAGTTGATCTGAATCACTTAATGACTTGACTCAAATCACCATTAATGATTTTGACTCGAATCATTAAGACTTTTTAAACTTATTGTATTCCTTTTATCCAATACCTATAAGTGCATTAGTCTGTTATTATTTCAATAGAGATTTTTTTTGGAAAACCTCGTTCACCCTTAAACACTTATAGAATTTCATCTTGTGCACGAAACTATCTCAACTAAAAAATGAGTGAGATTGTTAAGAGGTTTTCGTTAGTTGCTAATTTATACTTGAGTTTTGAGTGGAAGAAAACCAGTCAAAATTTAGGATAATGAATGTCAAAGAAAAAGAAGGTTCTTCTCCAAGTTGAAGATGAGAGTTTCTTAGAAACAACTTTATTTAACAATTAAAGAATCAAATGTATTTATGGTATAATTGAGGAATTTCTACAAAAAAGAAGAATTGAGAATTTTGAATAAGTTGGTTGTGATAAAGATTGAGATAAGGTGGATCTCAAACTCAAGGGGTAGGGAGCCTTATGCAATTTAGGAGAAATTATGGGAATTTATGATTTCT